GTCGTATGTACGACGAAAATCGGATGCAGTGTGAATCCAGCAAAACGCTTTGAAGCGTTTGAGCGATCAATCAAAATAAAGAATTTTACAAATTGACTAATCAAAGAATGCTCCGAAGCGTTTGTAGCGTCAAGTGGACCGCAGCCTTAATATACTTGCCACGTTGCCGCGATTATTTGAAGTTGGCGCTATGTCATTGTCGTTATCACATTGGGTGCATTCAGTACCATGACCGCTCAGTGAGCTCTTGTGTCTGTTTGGTATTTTTAGTTCTAACGAAATATACTAATAAGATGCAAGCGCTCATTGAGCGCTCAGTGAGCGGTTGTAGTACTGAATGCACCCAATGTGATAACGACAATGACATAGCGCCAACTTCTTTCCTTCGGAAATAAAAACAAAATGTCTGCATCCTTTTTTTCGGAAACTATTTGTTTCACGTTTTGTCACTATTTTGTCACACGTTTTTACTGAACATACTCATTTCCTCAATATGTCATTTCAAAGATACTGCAATGTAAATGTTTAAAATGGCCACATCCGATTGTGCGCAGAACGATACGAAATTCGTCTCGAAAACGAGTATACCTAATATACTTCCACCATGCGCTCGACATGGTGCGGCAGCACTGTCAACAGCGTTTGAGTGGTTGATGTTTGTAGCATGATATCATGGTTTATAGTTGAAACCGTTCAAACTATAAATTACAAAATTTCAGCTACTGGAATAATAGTGCCAAATCTGTCGCTCCAATTGCTTATTTTAGCAGCACGTGAAATTGTACCTTAAGATTATCGATTTTCTTATAAGACTGGCCAAATTCGAATTTATTCCTTCATTAGTCGATCTAAACGACTCACTGTATAATTAACAATTTGTAGATGTGAAAAATCACCGATTTATTGTAGAATCAGCTTTATATTTAATAAATTTTTTTCTTTCTCTTGAATCATGTACAATGACATTTCAATGATTGCTTTAGCTTTGATAGTTTCGATTCTTTTTGGAGTCCTCCTCAGCAATATTAAACGCAACAAATAAAATTCATCTTAGCTTAATCCATCAGAGTTAAGTTACAAAACAGGTTATTACTAACTCCGATTGTGACATCAATCCAATTAAACTAAAAACTGTTACTCAGCAGATGTTTAACTGCGAATATGTTAACTGGGAATTTGTTTTTGTGCGTTACATTATATTATGCAAAATTACTAGAAGAATTTAAGAAATATTATTCAAGCTTCTTTGACGTGTTCTTAATCTGGTTGGATTTTAGGACATATACCACTGAAAGAGGAATTGCCTATGCTACCCATATACCAGATGTGAAACCAACATCTGTGCGAGAGAGAAAGCTAGAGAGTCCCAAATGTTTGCAATGCGCATGCACACTATATGCGCATTACACATCTGTGTAATGTACGAATTATGTAAGAAACACTAAACCAACTGTACGATTCACACAGACGACGGTGCTGCGCATGCGTATTGCGAACATTTGGGACTCTATAGCTTTCTTTCTCGCATAGATGTTGGTTTCACATTCAGCGCTTTATTCCTCTTCCAGTAGAGGAAGGTCACCGATACCAACATACCACTTTATTTTTGGACGATATTTCTTAAACAAAAGGTAAAAATACAACTTCAAAAACATAAATATAAACTAAAAAATGTCTTCTATCAGATAGTATAAGCAATTTTTATAATACTGTTTGCAATTTTGCAATAATTAAGTTTTTCGTAAGGCATGCAAAAATGAGCGTTTGACAAAATGGGCTCCAAAACTGACATAGTAGGCAATAATGCTAACATTCCTATTTTATAAATAAAGATATATCCTATTCTGTAAAGAAAACTAATTTATGAAACTATAAACATTTATAATGACATAATATTATCAATAATACAGTCACTATTATTTTAATTACGCAATTTGCAAAAGAACACCGTAAGAATTTCCTTCTCGGATTCATAGAATTTATTTTTAGCTGATTTGGTATAGAAATAAGCCACAAATATATGAATTATGAGTTTGTACTTCTTTAATTAGCTAAACAGATCATGTTTTTATTAGTATTAATAAGATGCAAAGGTTAGTTTCTAAGAAATAAGGGGATGTCGCTTTAGGAGACTTGTGTCAGTATCGGTGATTCCTCTAGTCTAGTATATGCTCTTAGGGTTGAATTGATGCCACGATTGGATTTGATACCTATACAACCTGTTTTATGATTTAATTCTGATAAAGTAAGAATGAATTTTGACGTTTCTTATACTTAATTATTGAGAAAGAATTTTTCTCTGTAATATTTTTTAAATTATAATTCTCAAAATAATATATTCTAAAAGTAATTTTAAAGGTGTTACAATATTATTATGTAGAGTAAAAGAATCACATAAAATATCGATAGACTTACGAGATGTGTCACCATTAGCGGACATTATACTTGGTTTATTTATCCTTTGCTGTATTATCTATGTATTAATAAAGAATGTATAAATACAGTAAAGAGAAAAGTAACTAAGAATATTAATAAATATTTATACCTTCTCAATCGTTGAATGAATCATATTTGAACATTTTTGCTGTTTGCATCTCAAAGATGTGAGGTTAAATATAACATCAGAAATTAAGAATACATTTCGGAGTCTAGATCGCCAAATTTGTTTTATACTGAAAAACGGTTTTTAAAATAACTTTTTTACATGAATAATACATATATTATTATGTGATTATTAATTTTTATAAATACAATTTTTAAAAAATCTTTTTTCAATTACATTACAATCCCAAACAGCACAAATGACTGTTTGCCGACTAATTGTCGACTTTATTTAGTCGACTTGAAGTCAACTTGTATAGTCGACGTTTTGTCGACTGTTTATGGAACGGTTTTTGTCGACTGTAATTGTCGACTACAAGTTAAGCGGTCTTCCAATCTTATTATTGTATATACACATATGTTAATAAAATAATAATTTTAATATATTGTTTGATATTTATATTTGGCGCTAAATGAAACTTAAGCAGCGTTAGTCAGCGCTAGTATAATTACTTCTGGATCTGTTCGATTCATGTTCTGTACATTCATGTTCATATCAGGTTATGTGTGTTATGTGAGATGTGAGAACGTGCCAGCTGCACGTGGTTTATCGTGTAATACGTAATTGGTGACGATAATCCAAGGTAATCATTTTATTTCCTTACAATTATTGTTTATGAAAATAATAAAATAAATATATGAAACATATTGAAACAATTTATAAGTATTTTTTTGGATATTTGGCCATTTCTTGAAAAAGAAATGCTTTTCAAAATTTGAGGTTGTATTGTAGAAATTGCAAAATTATATGTAAAACGTAATATTTGTTACTTAATTTTCAGTGTGCTCGATTTATTTTGATTGATACCTCACTGGGATATTTTTGAAAAAAGAAATATATTAAGAATTTTGTATATGTATTAATATATGATTTTATATGTATTAAAGTTATATTTTAAAAATTTTGAACTGAAATATTATGTAGTTGTGTATACATATATTTAATGTTTTATTATATTATATCACCTATTATTAATTTCACTTCATCTGTATACTTATTACTAAAATCTATATTTATTATTAGAATTTTAATTCTAATAATTATTTATCAAAAACTTCATCTAATTTTTATTATACTTCAAATTTAATGTATAATATATGTATATATATTTATGGATGTTATATAATACACATTTAAAGTAAAATAAAATTGATTAAGTTTTTGATAAATGCCATTTAAAACAAAATTAATCAATAATAAATACATAGATAATAAATTGATTAAGGCCGATATTTATGGTTATAATGCAATGATTATTTATGATTGTACTGTAATGATTATTTGAATAATCATTACAGTTTCATAAATCTGTGATTATTCGCCAATTAATATATGTTCAATTTTTACAAGGATTTACCATTCAAAGATGATTATTCAACTATTTAGAATATGAATACCATGATTATCTTTGTGCAAATTGAATATAAAATGACGAATAATCTCAGATTTTGATGAAACTATGATTATTCAAATAATAATTAATTAAATATCGACCTAAAAGTCGACAATAAATCGACTTATAACTTTGACTGATAGTCGACTTATTGTCGACTAAAATTCGACATGGTTGTCATAACCTATTCAACGCTGGCTTATACAAATTGACATTTGTCGACTATTAGTCGACTATAAATTGGTATTCAGTCTGACTTTAAAGTCGACTTTAGACTTTGTCTGCCGACTGACAGTCGACTTCGTGCTGTTTGGGATATATCTATTTTTTATAGACAAGGAGATATACAAGATAATTCAAAATAATCTTATGTCCTTCAAGGAATATTTTTGACTGTATTCTGAGACGATTTTTGGTTTAAAAAACCATATTTGTTTTAATTTTCAATGTACAAAAAAAACACATCACGGGCCAAATACAAAAGATAAGCAGGGGCAGCGAGATCACCATTATTTTCGGGTATTTACGTGTCATTTGACAGTACATTAACAGGGGTACGTTCCAAAACTTGACTCTGTCAACTCTGAGTATCTTTCATCCTTGTTCAACATTCGGTGAACAACAAGGATAAAAGTAACGAATCAAATAGTTACCGTTACTTAAAAAATGTAACTGCGTTACCATTAACGTTATTCATTAAAGAAATGTAACATCGCGTTATCCAATCGTTACCGAAAAAACCAACTTATAACGGTGTAACGATGCACCCCCAGAGAATGCATCATACCCGGCATAACACCTGCCGGATGCCGCTGCATTGCAGCGATGAGGGCGCGGTGCGCCCGAATATTTTAAATCAAAAGCACAATTCACAGGTACCAGCCGACGACTCGCGAAAGCGACCGAATGCCACCGATCGCGGTGTCGGCGCGCGCTCGGAACACCGATCGGCGAGCGCCCGCGAAGCCGACCGAGGGCTGCCGAACTCGCGGCGTTGATCCCCGCTCGCAACGCGTGTCTCCCACTCGTATTGTCTAATCGGCGGGAATTCTCGAGCGCGCCCGAAACAATACGAGTGGGAGCGACATTCGGGTATAAAAGCCGGGAATTTTTAGACACGAGGAGCTTTTTCCTCAGCATCAAGCTCAAAAACCACGTGTCCGCTCCAGCTCCTGCTCCTAGCAAACCGACTGTGCTAAAGCAACGAGGGGTCAAGCGTTCTTGGTCTCTCTTGGAGAGTTCTCCAATAGCACAGGCCGGCTCCTTTAAGCGCACTCAATCCGAACGACGACCAGGGGATAGAGAGAAGTTCTCTGCCTCCCTCCGGGCGTTCCTGGACGTCAGGGCGACCGACGCACTTTGCGCTATCGATCCTCGCTTCGACCGGCCAAGACAACAGGGGTTCTCCGCCTCTGGTCAGGAGTTCCTGGCAGCCAGCCGAACGCTCTCCATTCAAATTCCGGCCGCGCACCTACCGCACCGGTACTCGCGGAGCGACTGCACGCCAGCACCGCGCCGCGATTGGCTGGCTACCTCGCCGCGAGACCAATCGCCGTATCGCACTCGCTCGCCGAATTCCTAGAGCGCGCCACCGCACGGGCCCACGACTCAGGCTGATATTACACGAGTACGGAAACACGGAAACGCGCAACCAATCAGTAATCAGTGAAACGCGAAACCAGTTGACACATTGATGTTATATTACTGTTAGTGGTGTTGACTGACTGGTGTTATGAGTTGTACTTCGAAATTTGACACTGAAAGGGTTACACGAAATGTGTTCGTATAAATTAAAATGTTTATAATAAAATTACATACCTTTTAATTATTTTCGATGATTCATCCATTATATTCCTTTTTATTTTGACATCCATCAAGGTACCTTTATACACAGCAATATACAAAAGAAACTTTTGAATCAATATATTGACTACGAGTTTTTTTAGAAACGAAAAATAATTACTTATTTGTTAACTAAACTCGGAAAAAGTTATGAAAATCGAGATTTTATTAATTGTTGAAAGTCGTAAAATGTTTGTTAAGATTTGTAAATATTTTGTACACTTGATATGTCTCTAAAATAAAATTAATTACACATTTATGTATTGAAAAATAAGTAGTAAAATGTGTGTGTGTGTGTGTGTGCGCGCGCGCGCGCGCGCGCGGGTGTCTGTGTAGAGAATATGATTTTTTAATTCATATACACGGTGTCCCATTTTAAATAATTTCTTTAAAATTTCTCGAAAACTATGGTAGATACGAAAAAATGTTTCAAACAAAAGTTGTATGGTTTGGAGGGGGACATAAGAAGGTATTATTGATTCGACCTTGGTGACATCATTAAGGTCAGATCAAGGTTACATCGAGTTTTTAAAATAGAATATCCTATTTTTGATGCCAGAATTTAATAGCTGGTGTCAAGAGCTTTTCAAAACACTATAATAAAGTTATTTTTCACTAAGTACTTTTCGAGTTATAAGGCTTAAAAGTTACAGTACCACCGGCATTAGCATTACGCATGGTATCCGATCGACAGCTAAAACCTTTTGAATGTTGTTCAGGATGTCCTGGATAACATTTATCAAGATCAAAGTCATTGGAGGTTATATCTGTTATTTTCATTTTTACGTAAAAATGAATTCTTAATGCAAAAATGAAAATAACAGGTATAACCTCCAATGACTTTTGTAAGAAACGGCAATGTTACCAGTTACAAAGTTTACTTTTTAAAGCGTTATGTTACGCGCGGAGTGTACCGATGCGCGCGCATCCTTTTAGGCGCTGATTAGCCTAGAGGAAAAGTAGTTTCACGACGCTTGCGCTGCAGAGGTAACGCTGGAGAAGATGACGATATTGGATGTGTTCCGTTTTTACTGGCAGTGCAGTAAACGTGATGTCATCACAGTACACTGCGACAACTGTTCCACAATTACTGCATTACTGCCAGCATAGCTGTAACAGCGTATATCGGAACAAATTTCAAGTGCTATCAACATGGCGATGCACGCAGTAAATAAACAGGTTAAGTTAAGTTACAAATTTACATGATTGCAATAGAATAGAAATGTTGAACGAAAGCAGTGATACCTCACTTATCATTGCGTGCTTTATGCGCATCTTCTACATTTAAATAAAAAATATATATAATGTTCAGGATCTAATATTTTTATTTTTTCAGTAGTACCAGGGTATTTATCATGGAACATATCGGAACGAATTCCGATCGTAATTTTCCCGTTTCTCTAGAAAATACGATAGAAATGTGAAGAATAATTGAATAATTTTGATCGGTATCAATTCCGAATAATTCCATAATACGTACCCTGATGTGGATATGCCTGATATCATTGGCGTTGATAATGCCATGTTCGACGCCATATTTCTATTGTAACTGCCTCACCTCGAAAGCTGCAGTAGTCGCAGTGGCAATATGGCTACCATTTATGACGTCATTGATGTTACTAGATGCTGTCGCAGTGCGCTGCGCATAATAATGGAATGATTTTTCCGATATAGACTGCCAGCACTGGCAGTCTATATCAGAACACACCCATTGTTGTTATGGCGGGTAACGGGCACGAGACACGTGTGTGTACGGTGTGCGACAATAAAGCTTATTTTGTGCGTTATCGACTAGTTG